GTGTGCTTAGTGGGCACAAATTAAGTGCGGAACCATTATCGATCGGCACCCATGACACCTCCTTGCCCCGGCATTTGACGACAATATACAGAGCTTTATTATGGGAACGCCCATCAATTGGGAAACTTCATCGGAGAAGGCAATTTGATCTTTCAGAAGAATAGTGCCAATAAAGTCTTCCAATTGTACTTCGTTAATCGTCTCCGGGACGTGCACTTTATTGAGAAACTTCATAAGCACCATTTTGTGGCTTTCTGAAGTTTTGAAGAGATCCAACAGAGAAATTTGTGTCGGCATCTTTCTTAGCTGTTCAATTACCTCAAATTTGCTCATCTTCATGACCGAAAGCAACTGTTTGACATCTTCTTCGGTTACTCCTTTCTTTTCGTGCTCACCTTCTTTCGGGACATTGCATCTCCCTGATCGGGTTATGGCATCGACTTCTCTGTGGGAGTAATCCCAAGGTACACACTTAGTATCAAACTTTTCTTTTGGAGGGAGAGTGATAATCACAGGTTGTGTGTGACATTCCAAATTTCGACCCACTTGGTATTTATGAAATGCATGATTTCAATAACGCACTTGTAGCAAATCTCGCCCAGACTTCATCACTCTCGGGATACTAACCAGTAGGGAAAGGCTAATTAGGGAATTTAATTCGTGCGGCCATAGAACTTGATCATGGACGGACTTTCGACCATAAGGATTGTCGAGGTGATATTTTGGGCTAATATAGACCGGTCTAAGGTTGGTCATGGATTGATTTGCGAATGCTATATAACTGGATCGCAGGTGATTCCGCCTCGCCAGGATATGAATTTGCGAACGATCCCAAACCTGTTCCAAACGATCGCGATCTTTAGAACTAGTGATTGATCCTCACAATTATATGACAATCGAGGTCGCCATGACTCAAGTGAGCTTAAACGTGGTTCGATTTAGTATCGACCACGGGTCGAATACACGAATTTTCCCGGAAGCTGCCCGTTAGTTTGAGATAAGCTCAAGTTGTGTTTATTTGAGTTTGGCTATTAAATAGAGATCGAGTTTGGGCATCGAAAATTTCGATAGTCATGATACAATATTTGGACGACGTCAGAAGTACCATGGTCAGTTTTGAATTTGCTCGAATTCGTCAGAAAATTGGAATTTTGGAAGAAAATGGAAAATGACTGTTTTGCCCTTGAGATTTTATGAAGGCCAAGTATAAATGAGAGGGGCATTTTGGTCATTTTACACCAACTTTAGAGATACAAATTTTTTGACGGTTTTGCCCCTACACTTTTTGTGAAATTCCAACTTTGCCCTTGGATATTTTTGATGGGATTCGATTTGGGCCGTCGATTTTTAGATAAGATCGAATCGTGGTCATCGGATTAAAAGTAGAGAGAGGGGTAGGATGGTAATTTTACCTAGGGGGTAGACTAGGTTTTCTTTTCTTTTCTTTTCTTTCTTTTCTCTCTCTCTTCCCTCATTTTTCACGATCACTCTCTCCCTCTCCTCCCTCTCTGGCCATGAGTTCCTCAGCCCCCTCTCCTTCATGTGAGTTGGCCAACCGGCCAGCCAATCGCCGTCCGCTCGTCGCCGTTTCGTCGAACCATCGCTCGCCCTTTCGTCGTGTCGCACTACTACCGCAACCACCATCTCTCTCTCTCGTTTCCCACCGTGAAACACCATCACCAGCCACCCCTTTTCAGCCAAGAACAGCCGAGAGAAACCATCGCCGCCGCTCTCTCGTGAGACGCCGCTGTTTCCCACATGAAACCTACCCGTAGATAACGGGTAATTTGGGTTAGTTCCCCTTTTAGCAAGTTTTAGGGGTTATTCGTAGAGAAATGGTTGGACTGCTTTGGCTAAGCTATTTGGATGAAATTGTGATGATTTTTTGAGGTGGATTGGAGGTTAGGATTGATTGATTTTGTGATTGGCTCGCCCTTCGTCGTGTGCACTACTACCGCAACCACCATCTCTCTGTTTCCACCGTGAAACACCATCACCTCAGAAACCGCCGCGCGCCGCTGCTGTTTACTCTCTGTCCAGCCACCTTTGAGGGCTTGATTTTGTGTGGAATCACAAGTAAGTGATACCCTAACCCTCGCCTAGGATAACGGGTAATTTCGGGTTAGTTCGGGCCCGTTTTAGCAAGTTTTAGGGGTTATTCGTAGAGAAATGGTTGGACTGCTTTGGCTAAGCTATTTGGATGAAATTGTGATGATTTTTTGAGGTGGATTGGAGGTTAGGATTGATTGATTTTGTGATTGGAATAATTACGAGTGATTATTGTGACTTATTGCGTGAAAAACGGGCCTAAATGTGCCGTTATAGTGATTTTTCTGTGGTGGCCGAATCACTGTTCATTCTGTGGCTGAATTGATGCATATTGGTGTTTGAGACATAGTGCGTGTTGGTTTGGGTTTTTCGGTACAAGTACGACGCCCGTGAGTGGTGAAATTTGGCTTAAAATGCAAAAATTCGCGTTAAATTGTGCACGTGCGAATTGAATTGGTAAAATTGTGAGTTGGCATGGCTTACTGGTAGCCTATATATGTTTGATGATGTGTACGAATTGGTCATATGAAATTGACATGAGATTGGGTGCCGATGTGTTACATGGTCATTAAATACCCTGAGGCGTTTTTACGCGGGGTCCAGTTAATAAATGGAAAATGTGTGCACGTGTGATAACATAATCCCTTATGCATTTTACGCGGGAAATTGAACCCGTCCTGAGGCGTGTTACGCGGGACGATGCTCGATTTTACCGGAAGATCGCCAACCTGATGCGTTTTACGCGGGTTGTGCCGTAAAAGGGAGAACGGTGTTGCGCCTGAGGCATGTTACGCGGACTAGAGACACCGAGCCTGAGGCGTTTTTACGTGGGCTATAGAAGTGTTGTTCAACCTTATGCGTGTTACGCGGGTTGTGTTATAAAAAGGGAGATCGGTGTTGCGCCTGAGGCGTGTTCGTTTACGCGGGCTAGAGACACTGAGCCTGAGGCGTGTTCGTTTACGCGGGCTATAGAAGTGTTGTTGGACCTGAGGCGTGTTTACGCGGGTCAGAGATCGATGGCTAGTTGTTAGACCTGAGGCGTGTTTACACGGGTCAGAAATGAATTGGATGCGTGTGCCTGAGTGAAATGATGAAAGTGTGATGTTGTGTCTATTATGCGAATATTGGTGTGGTTTTGGTTTGAATGGCATCTTTGAGTCTGGCATGTTATCGATTGTTAATGGTAACGCTTGATTTAGCATGTGAAGTTTCGTGTGTATCAAGTTGAGATGTTGGTGCCTGCAATTGTTCTGGTTTACTGATTGTGTGATTAGCGTGCTTGAATGTGACTAGAGATACGTGTTAGCCTAGGTTGGGTTTAGGGTGATACTTGCTGAGATGTGATCTCATGGTTTTACTTAAAACCATTTCAGACCCCAAACCTGGATAATGGATCAGCCGCCTTACCGTTTTGGAATACCAATGCTTTTTGACCACTCAACAGTAGAGTTCCCTGTAGATGAACAGTATACTTGGATTAAGCACACCAATGAGATTCAGGTAGACGTAGGTGTCCCAGAGTGGCAGACTCACACTTATACAGCCTGAACTTTCCGGGATGGGGCAGAGGAATTCGAGCCTGTTAGAGGTTTTGATGCTCCCTACGATGCATTTGGAGACTGGGATCCTTTTACCGTTCCTCCCCTTGATGGTGAGTTGACTAGTACCGGCCCTGGCCCTGCGCAGTCGGCCCCTTCGATTACCCCCGCTGAGTCCGCACCTATGGTGGCTGAACCACAACCCAAGCTCGAGGTACCTTACCAAGGACCGATTCCAATGGATCTAGGCTCAGACAATGAACCCGTAGAGATGGAGCTAGTGGAGAATCCAGAGGTGGAGCCCAAGGAAGAGTCCGAGGAGAAACCCGAAGAAGAAGAGCCCGAAGCAGAACAGGAAGAAGAGCCTGAAGAAATGGAGCTTGAGGATGAGGAACCGGTTGAGGTCCCGTGGGAATCGAGAGATATAGATGACCCCATTGTGATCGAAGCTGATTCTGAGCCTATGAGTCTTCGGGGAATCAGACTGACTTCGATGAATCTGACTCTGAGTGGACCCCCCTCTAGAGCGACTAGGGGTTAGTTAGGAGTTTTAGGGGTTGGACCTGTTTTTGGTGAGGAGTCTTTTTGACAAAGGGTTAGTCTACCGGCCCGCTAGTCCCTTTTTGTTTTTGGCGGTCGTTAGTTTCGGAGGTTTGCTGGTGTGCTAGCTTGTAATGGATATTGTATATTGTGGGTGTAATATAGTGTTTGATGGTTTGGAGATTTGTCTCTCCCTATTACCCCATGATTATATCGTCATGGATTTGTGTAATCGTTTCCGCTGCATTTGATTCTGATGTTTTGGGTTGGGTCAGCGATGTTTCCTGGGACGTCGCACTTTTTGACCGAGCTTGGGGTGTCGCGCGCTCGTCGAGGTTCGGGGCGTGATATCCCAGTTGAATTGGTATCAGAGCAAGGTCAGCTCGATCCAAGTCGGTCGAAGCCTAGAGTGATAAGGAGAGGAGACCCAGGGGTAGCTATAGCTATTTAGGGAGAGCTTAGTGAGCCATAGGTGTGTCTAGTGCTACGCGTATCTCTGGATTGTTTGTTATGATTTATGGGTGAATTGAGTGCTCTAATGGTTGAAGTGCAGGTGCGTCTGGACTCGAGGTAAGTACACGAAACTTATTGATTGTGATCTCGTGTTGTGGTGGTGATTGCCTGCTAAGTGAATTATCATCTTGATTCACTGCCTAGGTCTAGACTGATATAGTTGGCCTAGGTCTCTAATTCCTTAATGGAATTATAGCAAGTGGGTGAGTGATAGAAGTTGTGAGAATGAGCGGCCAAGGAAGAGGTGCAGGAAGGGGTGTAGAAAGGGGAGTAAGAGGTCGAGGTGGTGCTTGAACTAGAGCTGTAGAAGACCCCAGAGTTGATGGAATTTTAAGGACACTTGAGGAAGTTGGGACTTTGATGGGTAGGCAGACTCAGGAGCGAGCTGCCAATATAGCTCAGGCCGCTGAGGCCGTTGCAGCTGCTGCTGTTGCCAATCATGGGAATCAGGGTCAAGGTCAAGGACAAGCCCAAGGACCAGTAAATGTGAATAGGCAGATGCCCCAGTTAGTAGAGCAATTTTTGAAGTTGAAACCCTCAAAGTTTGATGGTAAAGGCGACCATGAGGCTGCATCGCTTTGGGTAGAGGAATTAGAAAAGGCCTTTGAGGTACTAGGGTGCACCGAAGAAGAGAAAGTAACCCTGGCGGTGTACCAGTTCCAAGGAAACGCAAGTGATTGGAGGAAAGCTACCAGAGGAAGGGTGTTCCTTGCTGGTGCCACCCAGACTTGGGCGATGTTTGTGGAAGTCTTCAATGGTAAGTACTTTTCTGAGAGTGCCCGGGAACGAAAATTAGCTGAATTCATGAGATTGCGTCAGGGACAAATGTCTGTGGATCAGTACGAGGTAGAATTTTCTAGATTATCCAAGTTTGCCCCAAGGATGGTAGAGGATCCTTTGGACAAGGCTCGAAGGTTCCGAGGTGGGTTGAAACCGGACCTTTGTAGCCAAATGATTTCATTGAACTTAAGATATTATAATGAGATTTATGAGCGGTCCCAAGCGATTGAGCGTGATTTGGCGGATAGCGGTACCGCTTCTAAGTCGAGGTTTGCCCCGGCTAGGGACAACTGCCACTTCGGAAAGAAACCGATGGCGGGAAATCAGTGTTTTGTCCCACCCGTTAAGACTACGCATGACAACTTGCCAAACAGTGTTTGATTCTATTCTTTTGTTCCCAGAATCAGTTTGGGAACAGAAATGCGTTTGTTTAATTTTTTGATTCTGGGCACAATTTTGTCAAAAATTGTTCCTGTAATCGCTTTTGGAGCAGAATCAAGAATAAAAAACGTAGCTTCTTGATTCCTGGGAACAATTTTGAGAATCAATTTTTTTTCTTCTTCCTTTTCTTGGTTTTTAATTTAGCTTCTAATGTCCGGCCCGAGGACCGCCCTCGCCGGATCTGACGAGAATAAAATATTTTAATAAAAAATATTTTACCGGCCATGGCCATAAAAAAGAAAAAAATATATTTTTAATAAAAATATTTTAATAAAAAAATATTTTACCTGCCATGGCCAGTGACCAGGCCATGGTAAAAAAAGAAAAAAATATATATTTTTAATAAAAATATTTTAATAAAAAAAATATTTTACCGGCCATGGCCAGCGACCAGGCCATGGCAAAAAAAATAAAAATGTATATTTTTAATAAAAAAAATATTTTACAGGCCCTGGCCGGCGATCAGGCCATGGCCAAAAAAAAGAAAAAAATATATTTTTAATAAAAATATTTTAATAAAAAAAATATTTTACCAGCCATGGCCGGCGACCAGGCCATGGCCAAAAAAATAAAAATATATAATTTTAATAAAAAATATTATTAATAAAAAAAAAAATTTATTGGCCATGGCCGGCGACTAGGCCATGGCCCAAAAAAATAGAAATGTATATTTTTAATAAAAATATTTTAATAAAAAATATTATTAATAAAAAAAATATTTTACCGGCCATGGCCGGCAACCAGGCCATGGCAAAAAAAAATTAAAAATATATATTTTTTAAAAAAATATTTTACCGGTCATGGCCGGCGAGCAGGCTATGGCTAAGAAGGAGGAAAAGAAAAAAAGAAAAGAAAAAAAGAAAGAAATATTAAAATATTTAAAAATATTATTAATAAAAAGAAATTTTGTGGCGTTACCAAACGCATTTATGTTCTTTTTCTATTCCAGGGATGGAATTTTGGGCCGTTAACAAATGCCTTAAAATACTCAGAATCAATTCCGGGCACAGAATCAAAAAGAATCATTTCTGCGCAGAATCTGTTTCCGGGCACAGAATCATTGTCATGCGCAGCCTAAGAAGAATATCGGGAAGCCGAAATCACTTGAAGTTGTGTTATGCGTTAATACTCCGTTGATTGATCAGGTATTAGTTTCGTTAGGATGCTTGGATTGTAAGATAGTGACTGGTGATAGAGAAGAAAGGATAGACCTGGCAGTCTTAGTCATGTATGATTTTGATGTGATTACTAGCATGGATTGATTGACTAAGCAGACGGCTATAATGGATTGTAGTAGCAGGGTGATCCAATTTAATCTGGTTGAACATCCTAGATTCGAATTTGTGAGAAATCGAGGAGAAACCTCAATTCCTTGGATTTCATCACTGGAAGTGACTAAGTTGTTGGACGAAGGGTGCCAAGGATTCCTAGCGTCACTAGTTGATTCGACGATTGAGGAGCCGAGGCTAGAGGATATAGCCGTGGTGCGCAACTTTCCCGATGTCTTTCCTCAGGAATTGCCGGGATTGCCACCAGAAAAAGAAGTAGAGTTTGTAATCGAGTTGGCCCCTGGGACAGAGCCGATCTCGAAAGCACCCTATAGGATGTCGTTATCGGAATTGAAAGAATTGAAAGTTCAGATGCAAGAGTTGTTGGACAAAGGTTTTATTCGTCCAAGTACGTCTCCATGGGGAGCGCCAGTGTTGTTTGTAAGGAAGAAAGATAGGTCGTTGAGGTTGTGTATCGATTATAGGTAGTTGAACCAAGTGACTATCAAGAATAAATATCCCTTACCAAGGATAGATGATTTGTTTGATCAATTACAAGGGGCTTCGGTATTTTCTAAGATTGATTTGAGGACGGGATATCATCAGTTGAGGATTAGGAAAGAGGATATACCGAAGACAGCATTCAGGACGAGGTATGGGCACTATGAGTTTATAGTAATACCGTTTGGTTTGACTAATGCCCTTGCTGCCTTTATGGACTTGATGAATCGTGTGTTTAAAGAGTTCTTGGATCAGTTTGGTCTAGTCTTTATAGACGATATATTGGTGTACTCGAAGAGCCCGGAAGAGCACGAGTTCCATTTGAGTAAAGTTCTACAAACTTTAAAGGAACACACACTGTACGCCAAGTTTAGTAAGTACGAGTTTTGGTTCAGTCGTGTAGCATTTCTTGGACATGTGATCTCGGGGGATGGAATTTCAGTAGATCCGGCAAAGATTGAAGCTGTGATAAAGTGGCCGAGACCGACGACGGTAATCGAGGTTCGAAGCTTCTTGGGTCTGGCAGGATACTATAGACGTTTTGTGGAAGGATTTTCGGCAATAGCAACACCGTTGACACATTTGTTGAAAAAGGAAATAAGGTTTGAATGGACCGACAGATTTGAAAGGAGTTTTCAAGAACTAAAACATAGATTGACAACGGCGCCGGTGTTGACTATTCCATCAGGACTAGGAGAATATGAAATTGATAGCGATGCGTCGTTAAAAGGATTAGGGTGTGTACTCATGCAAAATGGACGAGTAGTGGCCTACGCATCAAGACAGTTGAGACTGCATGAGCTGAACTACCCGACGCACGATTTGGAATTGGCCGCAATAGTATTCGCCCTTAAGATTTGGCGACATTACTTATGCGGAGAGAAATTTCAGATATATACGAACCATCAAAGTTTGAAATATCTATTTTCTAAAAAAAAGCTTAACATGAGACAGCGTCGTTGGATGGAATTACTTAAGGATTACGATTGTGATATTTTGTATCACCCCGGAAAGGCCAACCGGGTAGCTGAAGCATTAAGTCGAAAGTCAAGCATCGTATACTTGTTAGTTAAGGAATGGACCTTGTTGGAAAAGGTTCGAGACTCGGAATTTAGACTTGAAGTAAGTCAAGTCTCGAGTTTGCTAGCCACACTAAGGATCGAACCAGAAATCCAGACTAAGATTAAGGCTTTACAATCTACATACCAAGAAATTCAGAAAATTCTGGAAATGGATGTTACTAAGAGGAAAGCGAACTTTCAAGTATCCAAAGACGGGATCTTGAAGTTCCGAGGAAGGTTGTGTGTGCTCGATGACGCAGAACTTAAGGAGGAAATCTTATCGGAAGCACGCCGTAGCAAGTATAGCATACATCCTAGTAGTACGAAAATGTATCAGAACTAGAGACAGTACTATTGGTGGAATTGCATGAAGGTGGACATAGCTAAAAATGTAGCTAAGTGTTTAACATGCTAGCAAGTGAAAGCGCAACATTGCAAGCCCGGAGGATTGTTGCGACCATTGGAAATCCCTGAGTGGAAATGGGAGCACGTGACTATGGATTTTGTAATGGGATTACCAAGGAGCCAAAAGGGCCATGATTTCATTTAGGTGATTATGGATAGATTGACAAAATCAGTACACTTTTTGGCAGTGCGGAAAGACAGATGCGGATCGAGGATAGGAAGGAACAAGTCTTAAGGATTAAGATGATTTGGGAACACCCCGGGACTGAAGGCGCTACTTGGGAAAGCGAGGAGCTGATGAGACGTCATTACCCCTAGTTGTTTGAATAGTTTGGCTTGGATTGTAAATTTCGAGGACGAAATTTTTATAAGGGAGAAAGAGTTGTGACATTCCAAATTTCGACCCACTTGGTATTTATGAAATGCATGATTTCAATAACGCACTTGTAGCAAATCTTGCCCAGACTTGATCACTCTCGGGATACGAACCAGTAAGAAAGGCTAATTAGGGAATTTAATTCGCGCAGCCATAGAACTTGATCATGCACGGACTTTCGACCATAAGGATTTCGAGGTGATATTTTGGGCTAATATAGACCGATCTAAGGTTGGTCATGGATCGATTTGCGAATGCCATATAACTGGATCGCGGGTGATTCCGCCTCGCCAGGATATGAATTTGCGAACGATCCCAAACCTGTTCCAAACGATCGCGATCTTTAGAACTGGTGATTGATCTTCGTAATTATATGACAATCGAGGTCGTCATGACTCAAGTGAGCTTAAACGTGGTTCGATTTAGTATCGACCACCGGTCGAATACACGAATTTTCCCGGAAGCTGCCCGTTAGTTTGAGATAAGCTCAAGTTGTGTTTATTTGAGTTTGGCTATTAAATAGAGACCGAGTTTGGGCATCGAAAATTTCGATAGTCATGATACAATATTTGGACGACGTCAGAAGTACCGTGGTCATTTTTGAATTTGCTCGAATTCGTCAGAAATTTGGAAATTTGGAAGAAAATGGAAAATGACCATTTTACCCTTGAGATTTTATGAAGGACAAGTATAAATGAGAGGGGCATTTTGGTCATTTTACACCAACTTTAGAGATACAAATTTTTTGACGGTTTTGCCCCTGCACTTTTTGTGAAATTCCAATTTTGCCCTTGGATATTTTTGATGGGATTCGATTTGGGCCATCGATTTTTAGATAAGATCGAATCGTGGTCGTCGGATTAAAAGTAGAGAGAGAGGTAGGATGGTAATTTTACCTAGGGGTAGACTAGGTTTTCTTTTCTTTTCTTTTCTTTCTTTTCTCTCTCTCTTCCCTCATTTTTCACGATCACTCTCTCCCTCTCCTCCCTCTCTGGCCGTGACTTCCTCAGCCCACTGTCCTTCATGTGAGTTGGCCTAACCCTCGCCTAGAATAACGGGTAATTTCGGGTTAGTTCGGGCCCGTTTTAGC